ATGAAATCTTGTTATGGTCGGGGACCATTTTCACACAGCCATCCAGCGTTATTTATAGAAAAGTCCAGCAACGGTTGATAACAGTTGCACCCCTTTTGAATTCAAACTTGTCTGAAACTTATCCAAAGACACATGTTTCACAGGCTCTTCCATATAACGATCTTTTGACTTGATAATTGTTTTTTCTCTACGTGGGAAAAACTCAACTGCAACTCCTCTTTTGAAGAATATATACTAAATAAATTATATCTCTCCAATCAGCTTGTACCATGTGTTCCAAAGATAAGTCTTGCATATACCAATAAAATATTGTCCACATGATCAATCATTATTTAGCAAACTTCCACCACAAGTCTTATTGCATTATGAGTCTTCTTAGTTTCTGTCACATACTCATAAAATTGAATATTAACATATAGTGCAAATAGCTACGTGGCCAATAAAAAATAAAATTTTATTTTAAGGTACAAATAATGCCCCCACAACTCTTTGAAATGAGGGTAGACCAAAATTTTAAAGAGCTGATATGATGGATCACAATTTAAATAGTGATCGATTGCTCTTTATTCGACCATTCATAATGCTAATCACCCCCTTATCTTTTGACAGTCATTCAATCATTTTTTCCGATCAGCACATTGGTGCCATCAGCCTCTCTTTATTTTGCTTGTTGGCATTCTTCCAGCCACTTTCTGGCGACGACATATTCATCATAAGATCATTTTGAGCACTTAACCGAGTAAGGTGCTGATAATACATCACCACCAAAGTAACAAATAAATGGTTTTATGTGCAAAACTTAATTGTGTAGAGGTTAATTGTTTTCAACCTCTAGTTAATATCCAATTCCAGCACCAAATAATTTATAATTTCAACCAAAACTTACACGTTTGGTTATCAATCAACAACCCATAATTTTAATCGATCTAACTAATCGATTATTCTTTGGTACCCTAAGTTGTGGAAAATTCTAATTTGTCCTCCAGAATCGAACGGAAATTCTTTCGGCCTCTTGGGGCTTCTTAGGGCCGAACGAGTTGCCCCCCAAGGCCAAGTAAGCCTTGGTTCAAAATTATATTATTTTTCAGCCGGTGCCCTTTTGGTTATTGAATTCAACACCTGAACACCATTACCCCCTTCTAAAGGCTTTTTCAACGCTTGACATATGTACAACTTGATACTTATTAGTTCTGCAGCATTAACTTCAATGCTAATTTCAGCCTCTGTCAAATGAATCTCATAAGTAGGATCTTTGACATAATTATTATTCGACGCCTTTGTCACATTAATTTCATAATTTGGGTCCCTGTAATAGGTACCCTAGAGGCATTTCTTCTATCTTGTTCTTTTTTCAGGACCTTTTCATATCTTGCAGCACTAGAGGCTAGTTGGAATAAGTCCCAAAATTGCATTCCCTCAAATTTCTTTCGTAATTCAAAGTCTAAACCATTCAAGGCTAGACTCACATATTCAGTTTCTGGAAGGGCTACTCGACATTTATGTCTCGCTCTTTTAAACCTTCCAATAAAGGCTTCAACCGTCTTTCCGAGCATTTGGGACAACCTAGATAAGTTAGCCATTAACACATCTAGTTAAGTCTTATAAATTTTGGTATGAAACATTTCTTCCAATTGCTATCAAGTATAGACCGAATTTGCCAGTAAACTTATATACCAAGAAAATGCCGTCCATGTAAGGGAATTAGCAAATAACCTTAATTTTAAAAATTCATTTGATCCAGCCTTACCACATTGAATGGTAAACCAACCAATATGTTCTATGGTCGAAATGGAGTTTTCTCCCAAAAAGGCAATGAAATCGGGAACTTTATAACCTCTTGGAAACTTATATCGGTCTATATAATCCAAATATGGCTTCCTATATGTAAGACGATCAACTCTTCTTGGGGTTGGTCCATAAGTTTCTTGAATTAAATTAGCCAATTGATCTCTATCAGCCATAAGGGGTTGATGATTTGGCTGTTGTGCTTGAGACTGATACATATAAGGCTGAGGCACCTGAGGTTGAGGTACATACAACACCTAAGGCAGAGGCACATATGACACCTGAGGCTGAGGCCGTGGAAAATTAAAACCAGCATTAAAATTATCTCGCCCCTCATGGGGCTGACATACCTGCGGTTGGTGTTAATAAATCGGATTAAGTGGTCGTCAATTCACATTCTAATTGCCCCTCCGATTGGTTGATACTTCGCTGGTATTTGATATTGTGGTTGATTAGCCTGGGGTTAATATTATCCATGCAACGACTATAGAAGGGGTTGAAACCCTTACCGCTGTTGTTGGTAATAATTCTGTTGAATCCCAAAAGGCGATGGAACTTGTTGTTGTGCATGTAACAAAGTATCTGTAGTATTCGACCGTACCATAAGGTTTTGATCAAACTTTGTTGATAGGACGGTCAAAGAATCATTCAAATTAGCCAATGTGTTATGGATTGGCTCTAGTGTTCCATGAAAGGTACGGCTGGTAATTTCCATCAGTTACACTAAGTTGTTAACATTCTCAACCAACATCTGATTACTTGGTTGTTGATTCACTTCCATTTTAGCTGTTTGTTCCTAATGCTGAGCTGTTGATTCACTTCGAGTTCAGCCCCGTATTCCTGATATTGAGGCTGTTTCTCGGGCAAATTTTGCCACTGAGACCGAGTAAATGCCATAGATAAATGTTGAATTTAGACACTTCCGGTGTCCCACCGGGCGTGCCAAATTGTTTGGCTTTTTTTTGTTTAGGGGCATGCTAAAGTTTTTCGACCCAAAGGGTTGGATAGCTAAACTATCCTTGGCACTGACCGAATCCGTAATCGGCCCTTTTATTAATCAGGCGACTGTTAAAAGACAAGGATAACCCCTTCCTTCAGGTTCTTCAACGCCTCAATAAAGAGAACTTTCAGCACTAAAAGTGGAATGAATGAAGGGAGTGAAACAAACTATACAAGCATTCATCTATTCCAAATCAGTCATTTTGTCCACTCAAATTTACTGGTAATAACTAATCTAAATGTTTTACTCAAAAAATTCCTATGGTTCGAGACAAATCTTAAGAAATGGGTGCTAGAGGTTCTTGGGCCTTAATTTGAATGCCTAAAAGGGTGGGCTAGGATTGCCCAATCTAGAAATCTCTAACAAGGCAACCATTTTATGTTACATTTGGGATCTAAAGACAAAAGGCCATCACATAATTTGGGTTTAATGGAGAAAATCATACATGCTTAAAGCTTACAACTTTTGGACATGCAATGAAAATTTCTCACTTTTGCTCATGGAGCTGGAGGAAAATCTTACAACTTAAACCGCTTGCAAGACAATTGATTAGGAATGTAATTGGTAATGGCTCCAATACTATATTTTAGACACATAATTGGTTTAATAATGACCTTATTATCCTATAATTCACAAAAGAAAGTACATTGCCAATGGGGTACATAATCAATTAACCTGTTAGTAACTTCATTAATTATGCTTCATGGTCATTCCCCTCATCATTAACATCCACCATACTTGAGTTGACAAACCTCCCCTCTCCCAACCAAAGCTCTAGTGACTCAATCCAATGGGTTGCCTCCCCTTCAGGGTAGTTTTTTATGAAACACACCATATCCTTCTTATATCATCACTCTCCCTAGGTACCATGTTTTCATTTAGTTTGAAAATCAATAGTTACATATGTCCAAACAAAAATTTCTCCTTTGGATTGTTGTTCAATCAAAACTCCCTCCCCTAGATTTGAAAAACATAGTCTACCTTCACATCCCCAACTCGTGTCCCATTTTTTCATCCAAGCCTGAAAGTTATTCATACCTATTCTTTGAATGTGAATTTGTCTCCCCGATTTGGAGTTATATACAATTTAAGAAAACCCTAAAATTGGGATTTGAATAGTGGCCTTGTCATCCACAATCTACCATATATGGTGCGAAATAAATAATAGAACTTTTAAGAACACTTCTTCAACACAATCCATTATTCTACAATCAATTATTGCTTCCATTTCTAAACATTGAGATCGATTAGCAAGGAAATTTGCTTAGAACTAGCCAGTGAATGAATCTCATTACCTGCATGCAATGGTCCACCTCCAATGCCTCCAGATAATTAATTATCGGAGTGATGTAATAGAATTCGTCCTTTTACTCGATTGCTCGTTGGGCCATCCAAGGCCTCAGTTTACTGGAGTTCACAGTTGACGTTAGGGATATTAACTCTCTCCAACCCACTCAAGGGTTGGTTGTTGTTGAGAGTTAAATCCCTTATTCATCATCACACAAACATATATTAAAATAACAATCATACACATCCACGTATAATACTATAATTTACACGATTCATCCAACTCTAGGGCTACGTTGATGGAGTGAGACGTGTCAATATTATGTATAAAGGAAGAGAACATAATCAGGTATCAAAACTCCACTCACTCTTACTCATCACACTCTTGAGACTACATCTTTACAATTGAGAATTAATATTATACTCTCCCTTCTCATCATAACACTCACCACCCCTCTCCCATCTCTATTTATAGTGTCTCAAACTCCAAAATAATAGCTTAATATGCCACAACTTTCTTCCCAGATTTACAACCTTGCTCCACAAGTCTTCGGTCTTTCAAAACAGAATAGTTTCATTATCTTCTACGCTGAGAAAGTGTGACCAGCCCGTAATAGTTGGACTAGCCCGACTTCTTTAGAATAACAATCTTCAAGAATTTGAGCCACAAATCCAATATTTGATACCAAAATTTGTTAATACTTAAATATGTTTTCTCAGATGCGTACCAAAAGTATATGACATCAAAATCACAATCCAACAATTATTGAACCCTTAGACTGACCTCACAGTCTAACAATCCATAAAGGGAGAACCCCGTTATTGTTTTTTCCTAATAAACACATATACGCATTATATATGTATATGTATATGTATATGTAATTATTTATATATATTGATATGTCCCACTCTTGCATTACTCCCTTTCACCAGTTGGCCTTCCCCTCATATATAGAGCTAGTTCAATTCAATACTCTCCTATGAACAAAAGGAATATATATATTGACATATCACCATCTCTCTCTCTCTCTCTCGATTGAATGAATGCTGATTTAAGCCCGTGGCCTTCGCTCCTTCCTTCGGTTATTCCTCTCCATTGAACAACACACAGATTCAAAAAAAAAAAAAAGCTCATTCTCACAAGTGGATAAGAACCTCTTAATCCACCCCCACCAATTAAGGAATCCCCTAATATTGCCAAGTCTCACTCCGGATATGAGATTTAATCTCATCCTAATCTCTCCCAATTTTTACTTATACTGAGAGAAAAAAGAGCATCAATACACACACATACAAAGCTCTTAACCTCTTGATCTTCTCAAAATCAAAAACACCTTGTTTTGGCTAATGGGTGTCCTCAGTTTCCTCTATCTCATCAACCCAATCAGTTTTGAAGCATAGAGCTCAAGCTATATATATATATATAGTTATAATTTGTTTTCATTATTTTTGAGCTTGCACTGTGTCCATGGACTATCTCAGAGAGCTAGAAGGCAAAAGAGCTCATGATATGAAGTCTCCGAGACGAGTGTGTGTCCCCGGTCCGGTCATCGTTGGGGCTGGACCCTCAGGCCTCGCCGTGGCGGCATGTCTGAAAGAGAGAGGTGTACCAAGTATAATTCTAGAGAGAGAGAACTGTATAGCTTCTCTATGGCAGCTCAAGAGCTATGATCGTCTACGGCTTCATCTTCCAAAGCAATTCTGTGAGCTTCCACTCATGCCTTTCCCTGAAGACTTCCCAACTTATCCCACCAAACAGCAGTTCACAAAGTACTTGGAACAGTTCTCGGAGAGGTTTGATATTAGGCCGGTGTTTAACCGGTCGGTGGAGTGCGCGGAGTTTGATGGGAAGCTCGGGTTTTGGCGCGTGAGGAGCGTGGGATTGAAGGGGGAGGAGGAGAGGGAGTATGTGTGCAGGTGGTTGGTGGTTGCGACCGGTGAGAATGCGGAGGCGGTGGTGCCGGAGATTGATGGGAAGGAGGAGTTTGGTGGGCCTATAGTGCATACAAGCTTGTATAAGAGTGGTGATGCGTTTCGAGGGAAGAGGGTTTTGGTTGTTGGTTGTGGGAATTCAGGAATGGAAGTGTGTTTGGATCTCTGCAATCATGATGCTAACCCTTCCATTGTGGTTAGAGATAAAGTAAGAACACTTCAACCATCTCTCTCTCTCTCTCTACCCTCTCTCTCCACTAAATCAAAAACCATTAAATTTTTTTTTTCCTTTTATGTTTTCTTGTCCCTTCATCTTTGAATTCCGAATTTTTTTTGGGAAAGGTAAAGCAAAATGAATTCCCAATTAATAAGCAACAGTTTCGAATTTCTAAGTTCATTTCTTTGAAAAATCATTATATAAAAAACAAACCCCTGTTGGGTAAAACTCGAAGCAATTTTTATTTACATATAAAAAAAACCCATTAAGGTTTTCTCATTGTTACAATTTTTATTTACTAAGTTTTTTTTTTATTATTTTATATAATAGCAGTTCAATTTTGTTTAGATTGATTTAAAAACGGAAAAAATACAGTTTGTTTTTTTTCATTTTGATTGGTACCCATTTTCACTCTTTGCAATTTTATGACATTTTTGCAACTGTTCAGTTTATTGTAGTGCAAGTTCCAACATTTTTATCAAAGTTAATCATAATCTGTGTTGGTGTGTGTAATTTATGTATTGATAGACCGGAATTTTTTTTTTTTTAATTTCACTTTTTTGGGATTCTCAAGCATGCGCATGTTGGACAGAAAGTTGGGATTTTATTTCATAATGACACATGATACTACATAAGATTTTCTCTCTGTAAAGGACCTTTTACTATATGGATTCCAGTCATGTCCTTTGAGCAAGTTACAGCCCTTCTCCAGAAGGGCAAGTCATGAGGGTGTAGTGTCACTCACACTCATCTTTTTGGGTCCTTTTTTCTCTCTCTCTCTCTCTATAGTCCCCCCATTAATCCCCTTTTTTGTGTGACCTTTTCTTAGTGTGTTTGATGATTTTTGAAGGTACATGTCCTACCACGAGAGATGCTAGGAAGATCAACTTTTGGGCTGTCCATGTGGTTGCTCAAGTGGTTGCCCATGCACCTTGTCGATCGCTTCTTGCTCATTTCCTCGAGGCTCCTCCTCGGTGACACTGCCCGGTTTGGCCTCCCCCGGCCACGGCTGGGCCCCCTCGAGCTCAAGAACTTGTCAGGGAAGACGCCGGTGTTGGACGTGGGGACCCTGGCCAAGATCAAAAGTGGAGACATCAAGGTACTACTTCATGATTTTATATGCTAATCACGTCACTTTTTGTTTCTTGCCCTATATGCTAATCACATCACTTTTTAGTTCCTTTCCCTTTACCAATTTGCAACTTTTGAGTGTTTGATTGTGTACATGATAAATTTCGCATTGATTTAATCATCATTTGATCAATCTATAAGTTCCTATACTTGGTAAAATTGAAACTCAAAATTCATTACCAAAAACTAAGGGACAAGTTTTTCTCAATTTGTATGCTAAATTTATCAATGAAGGCATTCCAAATTTGAAGATGGACATAGAAATTTCCTAAAACCCAAGCTAAGTTTTTCCTTTTCTTTTCCAAACAATATATACCCAAACTCATATAATCCAACACAAAATAACTCCAAGCACAACAAATTCTTGATGTGCTTTCTTCAATCATATGGTCATTTGAAGAGTTCAAAGGATTGCTAAGCTCCCATTTGAGATTAAGTTTTATTACCCGCAATTGGATTTCTTCAACTTTCTCAGACTTGAAAACTTGAAGGAAGGTTTTGCTTATTTCATTTAAGATCCTTAACTGATCAAACCGAAAGGGGATTAAGAGGATTTTCTTGTATGTATAACCATTTTCATTAGTTTGATATATAAAATTGTATATTTATACAATATTTTATTCCTGCATTTCCAACTTTAATTCTATGTATACAAATGGATCCTATAATGTTAATTTGTTGGAAAATAATTGGTTAAACTGTGATAAACTACTCCTCTTTAGTCAAAACAACCATGAGTTTCTCTTATTCAATGGAGTATATCTTAACCCTATTTAATTACCTAAAAAAAAAAAAAAAAATCATGAGTTTTTTCGTAGTAGTGTTATTCAATATCTTTTTTGTGCTTTCTTTTGACATTTTGGTGACCTTTGTTTGCTTCTGAAAGAAGAAGGTCAATTCTTCAAATGGATATACATCTGAAAACATACTTCGTTTTATTTTTTGTGATATTTTCATAATATTTGAAATATCATCTTTACTCATTTTCTTGTTTCTCCTTGATCAATTTCTTTATTCTCATACTAGATTTGTTATTATTGGAGTAGGTCTGTCCAGGAATTCGACGATTGACGCGTCACACCGTTGAGTTTGTGGGTGGGATAAAGGAAAATTTTGATGCAATCATCTTAGCAACCGGTTACAAAAGCAATGTACCATTTTGGCTGAAGGTACCCCTCTTTTCATGTTCCTTTTTCTTTTCCTTTTTTGTATCTTGATTCTCAAGGATATCTTATGTCTTCTTACAAACAACTTAAAAAGAGAGAAATTGCTTGAATTGTGTCCCCAGGATAGAGAGATGTTTTCGGAGGAGGATGGCCTACCCCGGAGGCCATTTCCAAATGGTTGGAAAGGCGAGTGTGGGCTATACGCGGTGGGGTTCACTAAGAAAGGCTTGCTTGGCGCGTCAATGGATGCTAAAAGGATAGCAGAAGACGTTGAAAGGTGTTGGAAAGCTGAGACAAAGCATTCAACAGCCTTCGCGGGCTCACTTATGCCATAACAACGATTTTGGTTGAGTTAGAACCACATATTTGATTGAAGCTGCCTGCTAGAGATGATTGCAATTGGTGTAGCCATTGGCACAACAATGTCGGTACCAATTAAGATCAGTGGCTAGCTAGTACTCCAATTGAGGGAAAAGAAGAAAAGTAAAAGAGTGCTAGACTGAGAAGAGTGCTATCTTTTCATTGACACCATGCAGGCCTTGGAAGGAGGATATGAGAGAGAAAAAGAAAGATGGGGGACCTCATCAACTACATCTGTACATCTGTTGTACATTGCCATTTTGCTCTAATTGTTAGGTATGACTTTTAGAGAGATAAAAGAAGGGGCCATGTTGTAGCTACCTAGCTGGGTTTTTTTTTTTTTTTTCGATAACCAGGGTGTTCGGGGATTCGTCCTGACTAATCTATGGGACCTGTGTTTGGGATTTGCTTGCAGATTGAGATTTGATTGTGATTAACCTATAATTTACATGGGATTTGGGATGGGGTGAGACTTGAGGGTATAACAATATGTGTTAGTCTTGTACTCTTGATGATTTTCCAGTTTTGGGGCTTGTATGGAGGGTGACTTTTAAGGATACATGAATTCTAATTAAAATTTGACAGTGGAACTTCTGTACCAAACTTCTGCTATATGATTTCTGGAGCATTAACAATTTTTTTTTTGACTTCTAGCATTTCGATCTTTTGTTGAAATCATTTCACTGCAAGTAGGAGTCTGGACCACAAATTTTAATCAGTCAATTAAATATGCCAATTCAAATCTGAAATGGGAACTTTTTTATAAGATCCATCTCAATTACAATAAATTAATTAGTCTAATTTTTGTCACATTGAAGTTCCATGGTCAAGCCAGCAAGTCTTGAACAAGTGCTTTATTCAATCAACATTTTCCCTTTGTCAAATCATCCACAAGTTTCGAATTCGGTTCATATACTGATGTGTACGTATCTAATAAAATGTATGGTAACGAGAAGTCGAGAAGTGCTATCAATAGTCACATTTATCTAATTTCATTAATTTATTGAATGAGATTGATCTCAGATGACTTTTTATAGATAATGCATGAGCATATACGAAGGTCATGATTCTTGCCTTTAGGGTTACTTGAAAAGGCAAGCGGTAGAGAAATTCATTTAACCTAGAAAGAGTACCCTACCCAAATAAGGAAAAAGGAGCCATGTGGACTCAATTTCTAAGCATCAAACCACTTTGGCAACATAAAAGTGCCCAATTGATGGGTCAAGTGGTCTCAGTTTTTGATTGCATGTTTATCCGGCCATAATAACCATTAAAATGCTAAGAGGAAAAAAAAATTGACTTTTCAGATTCCAAATCAACCACTAAAAATACTTGTTCCATCACATGGTATTGGTTTGAAACACCAACCAAAAAAAAGGGCTTTTTATAAGGAGCATTTTAGAGTTGTGTGTTACTTTAGGTTAAGTGCCAACAGAAATGTTTGTGTATATATATAGAAAATTGATATAGATGTTGAATCTACAAGCCTGAATTTGCCAACATGGATAGAATGGAAGTTAGGGGATTGACATAGATTCTTCGTGTCATAGAATTTAAATTCTTACTTTATTCTCTTTTTTTGTTAAAAGGGTAAGCTAATTTTTAGTTTATTTTGAAAGATAAAAGAGATGACATTAGGTTACACCCTCAATCAAATGAAGCAATCTTTGTTGGAAAATGGCTGAGAGAGAGCCTCTATATATATATATGGTCATTTCTCTTTAAAAATAAATACGGGGTGGTATTAATGGAGAGGATAGAGGAAAATTATGCGAAGTCTTTATTATAATAGAAAATCATCTTGGTTTGGAGAGGGTTGTTCATATATGTGCGTATTTACTGTAAGCTCGTCCAAGTATTGTATATATGACATCAACACCATTATTTAAATAATAGGATGGAGATTGGTCCGCAACAATTCAGAATGGCACCGTTTTTTATACTGCAAACAATCTTCGTTGATAAAATAGTAACAAGATGTATAAATTAAGTAATTAATGAAGTGGACTAAATTATTCATACTTTTTTGGATTGGTGTAAGTCTGCTTTTCTAGTTAAGTTTTTTGAGTCCGTTACAACTTCCCAGTAGTTTTATCCCAGATTTGAATTTCAATATTTGAGCTCTCACTTCTTAATTTTGTAGTTGATTTGAATTTCAATATTTAAACTCTCACTTCTAAATTTTGTAATTGATTACATCTCAAGTACTCTTATCTGTTTGTTGACGCCAATTACTCTACTAATTGTTAATGAACTACCCTATGGACTATTCAATTTCCTCCTCTATCATAAATACAACACCATTACATCAAAAATATACATTACATGCATTGTACTAATAATGTTGCGTTCTTGATATAATAATATTATGTGTTGCGTCTAAAATGATAAACAGTGAGTGTTATTTATGCATTAAAATGACGTCGTTTTAATGCACGAAAAAGACCGGACTACTGGATTTGGCAATAATATTATATGTGTTGCGTCTAAAATGATAAATAATGAGTGTTATTTATACATTAAAATGACGTCGTTTTAATACATGAAAAAGACCTGACTATTGGATTTGGCAATGGTCATGGTAGGAATTTTTAGGACATCCTCTTATGCACACATGGTGCACATACCAATCGATTAGGACCATCCAAATCGATGGAGATGAGAGAGCTTTTACTGCAAGTGGTCCAAAAAATTGAATATCTGAACGGTTTGATTGATATCTGTGGGTAGTATGTGTATAACTATTCTTTTGGACCACTCTCTTGGCCTTCTGAACCGATAGGTAGAAGTCAACATCCAATCGAATGGTTGGGGGCAGTTTATTTTTGAACAAAATAATGGTCATCCATCAAACAGCCCAAATTAATGATTGGGGCTTGACCTAATTTTGATAATTCTATGAAATGTCTGACGTGGAATGTCTTAGCTGGATACATATGAAAAATAGTGGAATGTAAAGTTATAATTCTGAAAATAATTTTTAAAAATTTTAAAAATAAAAAAATATTTTCAGATAATAATTTATTATAATTTTATAAAGATATATATATTGCAGAATGCTATACCTCAGCATACTTTTCTGCAATCCAGAAGTATTTCCTTAGTTTCTAGATGTTATTTGTGTTACAGAAGTGTGGAATCATTGGATCATATGTTTTGTAGCTATGAGTATACATGGCAGGTGTGGATGAGGATTTCTGATATTTGTGCTTGGAACTTACAACGGGTTGATGAGGTTCAGAATTTTGCAATAATCTTTATTCTAAGGTTTCAAGGAAAAGGCAATAAATTAGCGAGGATATTATTTACTGCAGTTTTATATTTTATTTGGAAAGAAATAAATGAGAAGTTGCATAATGATAAATTGTGTGATTCTATGGAATTAGCTAAGTGTATTTTGTGAGAGGTTATGGATGTAATGGGGATTAGTCTTCAAGACATCTTGTAATTTGTTTTCTTGTTTGTTTTGTCATGCTTTTTTTTTATTTTTTTGTTGGCCTTCATAATTTTTTTGTACATTTTTATATTTTCAATTTATTGAGAACAAAAAATTATTTCTATAATTATAAACCAAGCAGACTCTAATTTACTTGTTTAAAGCAACCATCTTCAACATATATATAATTATACCAAAGTAAAAAATATATATATAAAGTGGTGATATTCACACTCAATTTTTTTTTAAAAAATAACTACACTCATTTTTTTTGTTAAACTAAATGAAAAAATATTATAATACTTTATTATCTTATTCATGAAAGAGAATGAAAATTTATTTTATTTTAAATTTAAAAGTGCAAATGCTAAAACAAAAAAAAAAAAGGAAAAAAAAAAGAAAAAAAAAAAAAAAAAAAAAAAAAAGTGGTGTGAATGTCACTTAACTAAACAAAGCCTCAAACTATATACTGAATTTGGGTATTATATTGATCCATTATTTCGTGTCATCCGTGTCATTATAATTATTAATCATGCTTCAAGAGTATTGTTTTTCACTTTCCTCTCAATTTTTTTTTTTTATTACTTTTCTCTCAATTTTTTTTTATTTTTATTACTTTCCTCTCAATTTTTCTGATAAAGAACAAGAAAGAATAATTACTTAGTATTATTACATTAGCAAATCATTGCATGCACAATCGTTTAAAAAAAAGGATAAATGAGGGAATAAGGATCAAAAGATTCTCAATTACAATTTTACCACTTAAAACTTTAATTATAAGCACATGATTTGCATGTGATTATGCATATTCTTCCTTTTTTTTCTTTTATTTTTTATTTTTAAATGATTAATGCATTTCGCATCATTCAATCTCGTATCAAAACAAAATGGGGGACACTTTGACGAGTAACTTCATTGATGTTCCCAGTTGGGCTTTATTTTCTTGCTCTTTTCTATTCCCGGGTTGGCCATTGGGCCTATTGCTGTTGGGCCTTGGGGTATGCTCCAAGTTTCTTTTGTATATTTTTTTCCAAAAAAAAAATAAAAAAGAAAAAGAAAAAATAAAAAATAAAAAAATAAATGAGGTAGCCTTCATGGAGATGGCAAATAAATTTGGTCCCAAGTAAATTACTATTTGGAATTATCTCTCCCATCTTTTTCTCTTTTAAATTTGGATTTAAGTTTTGGTTTTTGTAATTTTTTATTTTTTGAGAGTGCGTTATTTTTGTTCATTTTACAAGGATTTCATGGTCTATATTGCAGCAATAAGAAGAAAATTCAAAGGAGATATAAACTTTTTTTCTTGCTTGAAACAATTTTACATCATCAATTTGAGACACTTTTAGAGTTTATTTCAGTTCAAGTCCTTGAACCAATCTTTAGTTCAATTTCATTACGTGAAATAAATCAAGAATTTCTCAATCTACAAATGTTCGTTATGAGATTTGAACCATTTATCTCTTCTTTATAAGAAAAGAGGTTATTTCGTAAAATATAATTTCAAACAAACTAAAAATATGATTTGGTGTTAGGGATGAGATTTAAGAGATTATGGGTCCGTTTATGTGTGTGAGAGAGTTTAAAAATTGTCCAAAATGGTAATTTTATATGTTTTTAAATATTATTATTATTTTTTTTTTTTTTGAAAGTTAAAACAATTACACACACCGTACCTCCACCGAATTTCGAACACCGATCTATCCTTTAAGAAGGAAGAAATAATACCGTTGGATTATTTGGTCCTTTGATTTATTTCATTTTACTAATAAGAAGGTATTATGATTCTTTTTTGGGGACAGGGGATATTTGCATTAAATTAAAAATAAAGAAGTCTTTAAACCACACATGTTTATTTATTTATTTACATAACTAACTAAAATGAACAAAAGAACCATTGAACTATTGTCAAGGATCCGATTTAGTGACCCACGGGTTCATCCTGGCCACCCGAAGTATTCAAGAGGGCCACGGATCTTTTCCATGTAACCAAACACTCCTTAAGAAACCCTAATTCACTCTGCCTGTCGACTATAAATAAGCTAACGATTTTAACTTATCAAAATTTTCTGACTAGAGAGGGTTTTTCCGCCTCAAAGAGATGGTACTCTCTCCATTCTACTGCTTTGTTGCCTCAGATCTGTTGGAAAACTTGCATATATGATATATACGTATAATATATACTGATGTAGTACTGAATTTTTACAGGGAAAAGGAACAGGAAGCTTTGGTAAGAGGAGGAACAAGACTCACACACTGTGTGTGAGATGTGGACGCCGTAGCTTCCATCTCCAGAAGAGCCGTTGCTCAGCTTGTGCCTTTCCTGCTGCCCGGGTCAGAAAATGTGAGCTCCCTCTCTGTCTCTCTCTCATCTATCTATCTACGATTCACTTATTCGTGGCTGTTATTTGACTAATTAACTTCAATTATTTGTTCTTATATGTAATATACTGTTTAGATTCAGCTTTTATTTGGTTTTGTTTTGCTATTTTACCAATGCTTTGTCTTGTTTGTGGAAAATGTAAGAAAAAGGGAACAAATTAAATTTCAAAAGCCGAATTTTTTTTATTACATATGAATTTTTATTATTTATGTTTAAATAATTCAGCAGAATCGAGTAGAACCTATATTTCATTTTTCTCTGTTTTTGTTTTTGCCGGGAATGAAAACTACAAATATAATAAAGCTCAGTTTTTTTATTTTGTTTTTCCTATATTTTCTTGGCAACCTAATTGGTGGTAATTTTTTCACCATTAGAATTAAATCATATCATTAGGATAACTAATTCATTTATCTCTTCTCTTTTAATGTCCAATTGCTATTAGTTTTGCACTAATTTTTGGGTCATGCTAAATTTAAGTTTTTTTTTTTTTTTTTTTTTTTTTTTTTTTTTTTTTCACTTATTATGAATCACTTGCTGCTTGAGGTATTTGTTTTGTACATTTTACTTGTGACACGCTTGATTCATGATTTTCCTTATTTACCTCATACCAGTCAATCTAAAAATTGATGTGATAGAGCTTCTATATAGTGTATATATCTGATATATCTTTCTCTTTGTCTTTAGCATCTGAACTTTGCAGATTAAAGAATATGATATTTGATTTCACCTTTCATGCAAAAAGCATGTCCATTTTGCTAATTTTTATCATATTGAGTTTGGTTTAGATAATTGGAGCGTGAAGGCAATCCGAAGGAAGACCACAGGGACCGGTCGTATGAGGTATATGCGTCATGTTCCCCGCAGGTTCAAAAGTAACTTCAGGGAAGGTAAACCATTTATGCATCTCTATGTCTGCTTTTATTTAATTAGCTGATTGCTCTTTTGGTTGGATTGATCGATTTATTTATTTATTTTTTGTTTAGGCACTGAAGCAGCACCAAGGAAGAAGGGAGCTGCTGCAGCCTCTTAAGGTTTGAGAGGAAAATTTCAGTCCATTTATGTTTGATTGTCTGGGATTTTGGAAGAACAAAAAGTTTTGAACTGTCTGTTGAACGCTACTTATTGTTAGTGGCAAGCGATTTGTTATTTTGAAGGATTCAAATGAATTTTACTTTATTTTGATAATGGAGGATAGTTACTTTTTATTTCTTGTTCCATTCTATATATTTCTCCATAGTATTATGGTGTACCTTAGCACCTTAAGCTTGACTAAATTAATGTCACACTGAGTCTCTCATTTGTCATTTTGGTCAGTGACTTGAGGGCTCTCATCCCATGGGAATGTTATGTGATAATCAAGCAGCAACTCACATTGCCTCTAATCCGGTTTTCATTTAGCAAAAAAAGTCACCTTAACTTATTATTGAAGAACATTTTGTTTCATGAAAAGATAGCCACGAAAGAAATTTATGCTCCATTTGTGAAGTTTGAAGACCAAGTGCCTGACATTTTTACTGAGTGTGTGCTCGATATTGCATCCAAGCTGAGCGTGTTATTTTTACTTTGTCATGATAGTAATTTAATTTTTTTTAATAGGGCAATATATGGTCGTGGTAATATGGATTTTGCTTTGATTACCTAATTAGGTAATATAATTTTTTTTTTTTTTTTTGGAAACTTAAAGCAAACCTCCCCCCCACCAAAAATCATTATCCACATGTCCCTACTGGGACTTAAATACTCAACCTCCCATTTGGGGAAAGAGAGGTAAGCCTTTTGGTAATCAAGTAATATTCACTGTGAAACATATATGTACCTGAATTTTTAGGGGAATTCTTACAAAAGGACCCGGGCCTTCCTTGCAGTTTGGTAGCTAAAGTGATGAAAGCAAGATAATGAGATTAGCTCAGCCAAGTTTGGTCTTAAGTGTAGATAATTACGAAGAGAATGATAAAAGATGAGGCAAAAATGGATAGTCGTAAAAAATGGGCAGTTCTCGGTTGAGATGGATTCTTGTAGCATGTTGTGAACTTATCTTGTTATTACTATAATCAAGGTATAGCAGAAAGAATGATAGAAGATAAAGCAAGATATTTGAGATTTTTGGGGGTTTAACTCAGACAAAATCTTAAATGCTGATGTGCAATTATAAATGGATTATCATAACGATGGATAGTTTTTCCCCTTGAAAAGAATCTTGTATCATGTTATCAACTTATCAATTATCATATGTGGATTGTCATCAATGCCATCACAGCCCTATTTCAACCCTTGATTTTGATAAACTGTGTTCTCACACGTGACATCAATTTTTATCCAAATTCATGTTGGGGAATGGGGCCATCATGGTTGCAACTATAATCCATATGTGAAAGAATTGGATACACTTGAATACGAGAGTGGAGCCTTGCCCTTATTTCTTATAGCGCTTGGATGTTGTCTCAACCGTAGTGTAGAGTTTTTGGTGGAGTCTCCATCATTAATAGTGAGTAATTCAACTGGCCATAAACTGATGAAAATTGTCCCAAGACTCTCAACACCAAGTGAAATATTTGGTACATTACTCATCTTACTCAAACATGCTTAGAAGGGTTTGAATCTTTATGAGGTCCTGGAAAGGAGACCATAGAATATTGTTGAGTTATTCTAACAAAAGTGATGGAACATTTCCCTTGGTGGGCCTATGGTAATTGTATGAGTCAGGACTTGGGAGTGATTACAGTTTAAACAAGGCTTTACTTACCACTGTTGTGCGAGCCAATACTAAAAAAACAGTATCAACATAAACATGGATGGGGTCAAAGAACATTGAGTTTAAGAAATGGGATCTGAGGTGCATATATTATTTTAACTTTGTCCTTTATGCACTGAGCTTGAAGGTTGCTTGTGAGAACTGACAGAATTTTTTTTCCTTTTATTCCCTAGTAAATTTACTTATTTGATTTGTCTATCTATAAGCTTCGTTGATATTCTATTTCCTTGTTATTAAATGATTGGCTTTGCATAGTTAATGAGCAAGTGAGTCACAACAGCTCCATTGATATGTTTCTATCTATAAGCTTCATTAATATTCTATTTCCTTGTTGATGGTGTTTTGAATTATTCAAGACAGTATGGTTGCATATGGAATCTGGAATATGTAACAAGTGTCAACGTCATGTATTATATAAATAAATAAATAAATAAAAAGACAATTTAGTAATTGTAGAACCATTGATGCTATAATCAATCAATTATTCAGACACTTCACGTAGCTCGCCTTTATCTTAAGTTATAGTTTGAACCATTGATGTTAATCAATCAATTATTCAGACATTTCAATCTGCTCACCTTTATCTTTAGTTATAGGTTGTGTTTTAGCTCCATTATACATGGGACTAGGATTCTTATTTTGTTAAATTGTTGATATTGTTTACTTGGGGGAGCAGATTCAGGTTTCAGACTGCTGATCAAACCTTCTGGTAGATGTGTTGTTATTTGACAATTATGATAGCTGTGGTAATTGCTTTACATCTGCTATTTTATTTACCGTGATCAGTGTCTAAATGTTGTTTCAGATGTGTTTATGTGATGTTGGTCTGATCTGTTTTAACTTATTTTCCCCTCCGGTAAGTAGATATTGTTGAATTTGGTGAAATGATCGTGTTCTAAGCTTTTGCAATATCTCCAGACATCTGTCTAATAGTTGGGAAAAGGGTTTGCTGTTGTTTTACATTTGTACTAGCTGAACCTTTGCAGGAATGCTCTTTTGAGATTGAGTACCACTTTAGAGATTAAGCATTCGGCTTTTCCTTCTGTGTCTAAATGTGATCTAACAGTTCTTTAAGCTGGAGTGTTGAGTGTTGTCATGGACAGTGTAGTTTTGAACTTTACGCTTATGAGAGAATGTATGAAAGCTGCCAAAATCAAGAGCTAAACTTTTATCACCGTGAATTTTTAGCACTTTTCCATGGATAAGAATCATAACATTAAACAAATTAATTATCTTTTCAGGTTCAGTACTGGAGTACTTCTGATTTCAGTATTTGTTATTGTTTCAACCTCTAATCAGATGTTGGATTTGAAGTTTTTAGACCTATGTGCAAATCTATATGTTTACTCTTCTTGGAATGGAAGAGTGACCATTGTGTAGTCATGAGTAGCATCTAGTTTGGTTTGTTTATGGGGAATGTGTGATTAGTCAGTTAGGTCTTTATCTTATACCATTTGATTAGCTTTATAGTTTAGACTGTTGCTTTAATTTTATTTTATTTTTAAAATTTCACGTATAATAAGCATAATAAAGTTTGTAGTAGAATGGATAACACAATAAATTAGAATTTGATGCTACATCTCCGAGTGAATGGAAAGGAAAAAACGACCGATGAATTGCACTGAGCAAGGAATAATATGTGTCTTTCTGCTAAGCAGGTTGTAGTCTCGATTGAAAGTTTGAGTGGAAGTTCTAAAATTTTGAAGCCCATACGTTTGCTCTTGGATTGAAGTCGAATTTGGTTGGGACAAAAGTTTACATAGCCTTCAATATATGAAAAGGACAATAGTTGTCATGATTTGATTAGCAATTTTGTTGTTCTCTCTTCTTTTGTGGTTTGTTTTTGACATTATGATAGGGGTGGTGGTCTAAAGATGGAGAGAGATTGTAACCGTTCTTGTCTCCTTTAGTGATATGGTATGGTTGGACCACGCTAAAATGAGTTATCTATTTAGTAAGGTATTTATCTATTTATTTATTTATATATTATACGGAATGCATGTTAAATTAATATGACACATCAGTTTTAATAATGAGGTGGTTCCTTTGATGCAAAGAGATGTTGATTATGTTTTCTATTTTGTAATGAAAAAAGTTGACAATTTTTCATTTTGTTTTAATAAACTTCTCAAATATTGCATTACATCTGTCTGAGAGAAAATAAAAATAAAAATAAAAAATAAAGAGGAAATAATGCTCTCTCTAGATATTTACGCCTCTGACGGCATGTTTTCATAGACAGCCTTAGTAGAAAAATTATCGAAGAGAATTTTTTTTTTTTTTGTATGATCCAAAGTATATGATTTTTAACGTTTTTCCATGTCCAAATGGTAAATGCCATTAAGCAATAACAAATAAAATGGAAACATGTCTCTTCCAATAATAGAACCCTAAGGGCCCGTTTAGTAACAGGAATAATTTCTAATTTTTACTTTCAAGTTCTAAAATTGAGAATCAAAAGTAAAGATTATGTTTAATAAAATACTTTCACTTTTTTACTTTAAGAAAGTACTTTCTAATTTTGTGAAGAGAAGAGAAAGTAAGAAATCCTTACTTTCTCTATTTTCTACACTGTTCACGAAAATTACTTCCTCTACTGTAGCACTGTTTATAATAAAAAATAAAAAATTCTAACTATCTCTCACCACCATCTCCTCCACCCACCTCCTCCCCACCATGGTCATCACCGCTGCCACCTCCTCCCACCATAGCCCCTACCACGACCATCTCTCTCCTTTCTCATACACATCAAAACCTATCAACAGTATACCCAAATCAACTTCAACCAGTCACACACAAAAAAATAAAAATAAAACCCCTAAGCTCTCTTCCACCACAACCGTCGACTCATCGGAAAATCCAGAACTGGTAGATCGATAGCGACGACGTGGAGCCTTTTGAGGCCCAGATACTCGACCATGTACAATGAGTATGTTATTGGATTGGATTTGATTGTTCCATCTTGAATGGCGGAGACTTTAATTGGGGGTGATTTGGGGGTGGTCTGGACCTTGATGGTTTGACCGGTGGAGTGGTGGTGGCAGAAAGTGGTAGGGAGAGTGAGGAACCAGGTTTTGGGGTCTTGTGGGGGTGAGGTGAGAGAGAGAGACGAATAAGAGGGTGATGAGAGAGACTGAGATGGGGTTGGGGTGAGGTGGGTTTGTGGTGAGGCAAATCTGAAATTTTGTGGGGTGAGGTGAAAGAGAGAGACGAAGAGGAGGGTGATGAGAGAAACTGAGATGGGGTTGGGGTGACGCAAATCTGAAATTTTTTATCTTCATCCCAATCTCTTGGTGGCTGGTGGCGGTCTATTCCCGCCGTCAATTGCAGCAGTAATTATATATATAACATTGATTGTCAAATATAAAGCAAAATCAAAATTATAATTATTAAACTTGTTTTCTAATTTCTTGCTTTGAAAATATTGAAAGCATAAAAAACTTAGTAAACGTA